GTAGATGCGACTAATTTGTTCTCTCTCTTTCTCTTCCCTCATCCCTATCCAGTCTGTTTACTCCCCACAGTTCCCACCGACTCTCTCTCTCTCTCTCTCTTACCTCATCCCTATCCAGTCTGTTTACTCCACACAGTTCCCACCGACTCTCTCTCTCTCTCTCTCTCTCTCTTACCTCATCCCTATCCAGTCTGTTTACTCCACACAGTTCCCACTGACTCTCTCTCTCTCTTCCCTCATCCCTATCCAGTCTGTTTACTCCACACAGTTCCCACCGACTCTCTCTCTCTTCCCTCATCCCTATCCAGCCTGTTTACTCCACACAGTTCCCACCGACTCTCTCTCTCTCTCTTACCTCATCCCTATCCAGTCTGTTTACTCCACACAGTTCCCACCGACTCTCTCTCTCTCTCTCTCTCTCTCTCTCTTCCCTCATTCCTATCCAGTCTGTTTACTCCACACAGTTCCCACCGACTCTCTCTCTCTCTCTCTTTCCCCTCATTCCTATCCAGTCTGTTTACTCCACACAGTTCCCACCGATTCTCTCTCTCTTTTCCCTATCCAGTCTGTTTACTCCACACAGCTCCCAATGACTCTCTCTCTCTCTTCCCTATCCAGTCTGTTTACTCCACCCAGTTCCCATCGATTCTCTCTCTCTCTCTCTCTTCCCTATCCAGTCTGTTTACTCCACACAGTTCCCACTGACACACTCTCTCTCTCATCCCTATCCAGTCTGTTTTCTCCACACAGTTCCCACCGACTCTCTCTCTCTCTCTCTCTCTCTCTCTCTCTCTCTCTCTTCCCTATCCAGTCTGTTTACTCCACACAGTTCCCACCGACTCTCTCTCTCTCTCTCTCTCTCTCTCTCTTCCCTCATTCCGATCCAGTCTGTTTACTCCACACAGTTCCCACCGACACTCTCTTTCTCTCTCTCTCTCTTCCCTCATCCCTATCCAGTCTGTTTACTCCACACAGTTCCCACCGACTCTCTCTCTCTCTGTCTTCCCTCATCCCTATCCAGTCTGTTTACTCCACACAGTTCCCACCGATTCTTTCTCTCTCTCTCTTCCCTATCCAGTCTGTTTACTCCACACAGTTCCCACCGACTCTCTCTCTCTCTCTCTTACCTCATCCCTATCCAGTCTGTTTACTCCACACAGTTTCCACAGACTCTCTCTTTCCTCATCCCTGAAGTCTGTTTACTCCACAGTTTCCACCGAATCTCTCTCTCTCTTCCCTCATTCCTATCCAGTCTGTTTACCCCACACAGTTCCCACCGACTCTCTCTCTTTCTTATACAGGCTCCTTCTTCCCACTTTTACATGTCTTTTTACTACTGTCTGGGAGTCGCTGCGGCGGAGCGGCTAGACTCTCGCTGAGGATTGGAAGGTCGTGGGTTCGCTTCCTCGCGGAGCCGGACTTTTATCAAAAATGACCTTGGCTCCCAGGTCGACCCAGCCTTGAGTGGGTACCGGGTGCAGTCCCGGGAAGTAAAGGCTTGGAAGAGGGTCCTTTACTTTACATACTTTTTTAATACTTTTATACTACTCTCCCTCACACTTCCTTTTGTCTCGTTATCTCCCTTCGTCTTCTATCCCCCTCTCTCGCCTCCTTTCCCTCCCCATTACAATAACTTATCGCAACTAACAATCCTTACCAGACTTGGGCTCCGGGGCAGTTCGATCACAAAATGATCGCTGACCTCCATCGGTAGATAAGACTATTTGAAACCTATTTGAGGACGAGTTTATCAGCTCTTGCCGTGCGCCCAGTCCATCACTCCCCGCGCATGGCGTACTTCAGACTGTCAACCTTAACTCCTCTTCCGCCAGACAGCTGCTAATTTGCAGTAATTGCTGCCTGTGTCACAGGGGCTTAGAGTGTTTACTGTCCGGGGGCTGATTAAAGGTGTGACTGTTATTCCCCCGTATTTCTGAAAGATTGTTTTGTTCATTTATGGTAGTTGAAAACTATGTGCAAAGAGATTGGTCAGGTTTATCGTCACAGCACTCCGAGCAGATCCATAGGTGCTCCGATCTCCCCAAAAGATTCACTGGCGCCAAATGACCGATAATGCCTGTCCTGTATTGATTAATCAAGCGCCAATAGTGAAATGTTAATTTCTCGCAGCTCCAAGATGAGCTCACACATTCTTCAGCCTAGATATAATGATGGACCGACCTGCTGCTGTATTCATCTTCGCCGTCTAGTACTACGCGTGGCGTTGACACCATCGCCTTTGTCCAGTACCAGGCCAGCCACCGCAACCGTAAGTAAGTAAAGGATCCTCTTTCACGCCTTTAGGGGTATAGGGCATACAAGGCTAGACATGTATTTTTATAGACCAATCGGTGCAAGATAGGGTGATATGGTCAGCATCACGCCGGCCGCCTCTACTTCCCGGGACTAAACCTGGTACCCACTCAAGGCTGGGTAACCTGGGAGCCAAGGTCATTTTTTAAAGATAGTCTGGCTCCGCCAGGGAGCCGCAACCATAGTG